TAATAATGTGCCAGATAACCACACAAATTACCTGGTCACAAACTGCAGAATTCCCTGTATTATAAGCAATAACATCCAGACTAGAACAAATTTAGAGAAGTGTATTTCTCAAATTAGTTCTACCGGGAATCGAATCCGGGACCTCCACATTCAGCGTCTACAATGCAAACCGTAAGGACACCGAGGTCGTCAATTATTACATTCACGCGTTGCCTTTAGTTGGTGCTGTTATTGCCCAAGGGAAACGTAGAATAGATTTTTTCACATAACAACTTAAAATTTAGTTCTTGCCAAGCTAAAGTCAGTTTTCTACAATCACTTATTGCATAATATACGCGTAGATTGAATAGATATTCTTAAGTGTCAAAACATTAATTGCTAAATGGGGTGCGACTCTATAGCCGCAACTCAATGGGAAGGTATAGTACGATTCAACACAACGCAATACAATAGAAATACCATTTACTGCACACAAGAAATTCGCATTGGACATACAAAACACATGCATACATATTCGTTTAATACAGACATAAAAGGCAGGTTACAAAAACCTCCCTAATGACCTGCACACAACATGCAACTCAGGGTGGCAGTACAAGCTCAAAAAACTAATGTACTTAAAACACTCTGATTTGTAAAAAAAAATTAGGCCCAAGATATCACATTGATATTAACTATCATCATATTTCTACTCGTTCTGATCATAAATCTAAATAACATGTAATTGATACGGCAAATAAACATCGCAGTTATACATTTCTCTCGAAAAGACTTCAACGCGCGCCTATGAAAATTAGCCACAGCGTTTAAGTATACACGCGCGACACACATTACATTACATTATTTTGTTGCGCTAGTGGCTTAGATTATGCCCTGAATATTGGATGCAGGTGAGACCCCGTACTCAACAACTTTCCCTGTATGGTTTGACGATTATTTTATATAAAAGTTTCAGATTAAATGAAACTTTCTTTTGGGACCTAACGTTTCGGGCCCTTAAAAGTCCCATGGTCACGGCTGACTGAAATGATTAAGAGTCTATACAAACTCAAATGACTGGTTGATTCTGTAACAGTCAAAGTGTTCAATCAATCACTTTCGAAAAAATATAAAGTAATGTGAATACACGATTCCAATAAATTTTCACGATAGAAAAAAACAAACTACTGCGAAATTTTACAAGAAATCCGCTGTATTCAATAGATAGTTTACATATACCAATGATTTATTTTATATCAACTGAACTAAATAGAACATGTATAGTATACGATATACATTTTTCAAATAGCTATAATTTGTTGACTGTCAACCGTGACCATGGGACCTGTAAAGGGCCCGAAACGTCGGTTTGTTTGAAAAAACAAATATACGCGATTTAAATCCGGAAAAATAGTTTCATTTCCCATGTGTAACAATCGCGAAAACCTAAAAACTCGATAGCTATAATTTTGTTTGTAAAAAAATTAATTATGAAATATAACTACGGGAAAAAATTCAATTCGAGCTGAGGTAATATCGACTGGAGTCATCAATCAGTTATGTCTAATATTAATGCAAACCTATTTTCATTAAATTACAAAAGTTATTAATTAAACGCTAAAACCTAAGGCTCAATTTATATTGCGGCGGAACGGAATGAAAGCGGAATCCTTGCGCATACACGGAGGTTTTGCCTTGTATCTAGTTTATATGTTACACAATTGACCATAAAGTTCATTATGCTATTTGCAATATAGTTACAAGTCGCTTCCATTCCGTTCCGCCTCAATATTAATTGAGCCAAAGAATTAGAGGGAACGGCGCCGAACGCCGATTTAATACAAAAATCTCCAACAGACACAGAAGAATTGCGTCGACCTACTAAACTCGACCTTTAGACCGTGGTGTCAGGACACAGGTTTGGTCCTGTAGGGTCAAATAAATTTTTCTTTGTGTTCTATTTTCGTTTTTAATGATGATTATAACTCGAGAGAAATTTCAAAATTAAAATGCTTTTCATATGAGTACTGTCATGACTACAAGCTTCCTACGAAAATGAACAAGTAATCCAAATAGCTGACAAAATTATTGATATACAACGTTTACGTACAAATGCAAGTAAGTCATATTATTATGATATGATAATGTTATGATCTATTGTTGCATATTTCGGTCGTTACGCTTTAAGTAACCGACGTTTCGACATCTCAGTTAGAGAAATATTGTTTTATGTAACATTGTCTGCAAATTGTTCGAAGTTTATTTTTTATTTTGTATTGTCACTTTAGGTGACAATCACTATAATAATGTTATTTTATTATTTTTTGTTAACTTCAAACTATACCTATGTAATTTCATTTGTTCTCAACACATGTGTCAGAATACTTATGAAAACAATTATGTGTATTAAACAGTAAAAATATTATTTTAGTAGTACTAGTTTTGTTATAATTATGAATACAAATATGAAACACAGATAAATTTAATTGCGAATTTAATATTTTTTAGTACAAAGATCTATAACAAAAACACAGGAGAATTTCGACGACTCGGTAACTGGACCCATGGCTCAGATGGTTAGAGCAATGCTACGGTGCAGCATGGACGTGGACTCAAGTCCCACTGGGTCAACGAAAAACTTTTCTGTGTTCTATCTTTGTATTCAAATAAAACTTTTCATAGGCAGTTTTGACGTTTTTTTTATGGTACCAAGCCAAGAGACGAACTAATCGTAAAATGGCGGATTTCTTTAGTGTTGTACCATAATCTATCGATAAGTCTTATCGATATCGACTTCAAGCTTGAATGTTGAAACTGTTTTTTTTATGTCCTTAATCTAAGTAAGCCTGTCCTCTGCCCGTCACCCTGACAAATAAATTGACAACTCCCATGTGCCATTGCGCCAGTAATGCTTACGTTACAATGTCTCGAGTAACAACCCAAATATCCAGAATGTATAGATATTACAATGACATCTGTTCTGATCATGATCTGTGTAATGGTAGTTGTAACTGTTTTAGAAGACATTCGAATCCACCACCTTAATTTCGTTACGTAAGCTTTGTTTTTATATCTTTTATTCTCTTTTTTTTATTTGTTACGCATATTTACATAATTTCTTCTAGGTATTAAATGTCCACTGTTTTTACTAAAGTGTTGTGTATAGCTGTAGTTGGATTGCAGGTTTATATTTATTCATGTAGAATAGTTTTTGTTGATATATATTCTGATCTGTAATCTGTTGCTGCTCACATTACTGCTTGGCAGCAGAAATTGGTAGCGTGGCAGTATTTCCCTGGACGAACTCTTCACAAGGTGTTTCTTATGTTCTTTGAAAGTTGAAAATTGTTTCTTTTAGTTCAGATAGGTGATAAAATACAAAGATCGAACACAAACAAAAATCCCTTCGATCTGACAGGACTCGAACCACAAGGTACTCTACTGCTAGTAAAATTCGATGTAAACGTTGTAACATAAGAAAGTGTACAAACTCGAAAACGAGCACGAATTACTAGTTCTATACGTACATACTGTCGCCGTCAATTGGAAGAAAACAATGTTTAAAGAAATTAAATGGAAAATAAAATACTTTTCTCTTGCTGTAACTATCATCATATTTTATCCTTCTAGGAAAACATAAAAATAGTGACAGAACGGCGTTTCTTTACCGATCACAGCAGTGTATATTACTGATTTTTTTTTAATATCACATGCGCCCTTTCAACTAACAGCGGCAGCATTAGCGTCCCCAATTTCGACGTACGAGACGTGTTGTTCAACTGTCATACAATTTTTACTTTAGCGTGTATAATCAGGTGTTTATATACGTATCTCTTGTTAGTGCAGCCTTTTTGTATACAAACTCGTATTGTATTGATCAGCGGCCCTCATTTCGAAGGTAAATTTATTCTAACCAGAAGCCGTGGTACACGAGTCAGATGAGTCAGAGACCTTTCTGATCCTTTTCACCTACCCATTGTTTATTCTGAACGCAATCCTTAACGCGCTCGGTTTTCGGTTTCCCCTGTGTTTTCTTTACGCACTTGGAATAAGGGATAAAATATAGTTAGAACTTTAAATGGTAAATAAAGAAAAAAGATGTAATATTCAATAAAATGTGAGCTTTAATTCAAGTGTAGTAAGAGAGCGTTGTGATATGAAAGATGATGTAGTGACCAGGATTGAAAAGGGGATGCTTCGATGCTTTGGTCGTATAGAAATAATGAAAGTTGATAGATTAATGGCACAAATTTATAGAGTGGATAGAGGCGTAGGAAGAGGTAAACCTCAGCGTACATATTATCTCGATCAGAATTGGGATGTCTTTAAAAAAGGCTTGGCTAAAGAAGAAGAAAGAAGAAGAAACGGGTATTTTTGAAGAGATTGTTGGTAATGGAGGAGACGAAAGATATTGCCCAGAGCTTGACAAGTCGAGGTCCATGGTCTCTGCCTACCCCGGTGGAAGACAGGCGTGATGATTCACATACATATATATCAATGTATGTATGTTTTATTCAAGTACATTAAAAAAATAATTATTTTTTTAATGTATAGTTTTTAGTTAACCGCCACTCGTGATCCGTGAAAACAGGTTTTTAATTTTCACAAATTCTGTATCGTCGTGTATATTAAGCAGTCAATTAATAGAATAAAGAATGTCATAAATTATGTTTTTCATATCTGCAGTTTCACCGCTTCGTTACTTTGTTAATATCTGTCTAAGGTAATGTCAAATTTAAATACGAAACCCAAATAAACACTTGTTGTTGAGACCATTGAGACACTTGACACCGCTCATTGAAACAATAAGTTTTCGTCGACCGCACGCATTTTTAATTTTTAGGACGCAAATACAATTAGAAAATTTATATATAAATATATTAGATCTTAATTAAGGCTTAATATTCAAGACCATGAAGTTTATAGTAATGATTAGTCAGCTCTCAATCACCGGCCCCTTAAGAGGCTTTCCCCGGGCAAGTTATACAATAACTATAACTGTAAACATCCGCTCAACTTACCTGAGCTTGGGCAAGTCCGTTAAAAATCCGGTACACTGCTTTAAAACACTAACACTTATTCGATTTTAGCGATTCGATCGACTGTCGGACCCCGCACCGTTATTCACGTCATATGTATGTCAAATAACGAGAAAAATTCTTACAATCTCCGCACTGGAAATATCTCGTGGTAACACTGCACTATTTTGTTTATTTGTCACTTGTCACATGATCACTTGTTTTTTTTATAATTTGTAATTGCAGGCGGGAGCCAATGCACTTAGCGCGTGAGGTGCGCGCGCGGCGAGTTGCTATCGAGTCGAGTGTGTGGTAGGAGTTGGCGCAAGCGTCGTGCGTCCGCCTCTCTCTCTTGCAAGCGACTGGCAGCCTGCCTTCACCTTCGCCGCGCCGCCAGCCCGTTTCGCAACCACAGCGATTCCCTTGCAGAATATCTTGTTGCATGGCAACTGTTTAAAAATGTTTACTGAAACTGCTGTTAACAGTTAACTAACAAAGTTTCAGGTCTATTTTAGAAAGTTTGAAACTTCCACTCTTTGAAACCTTTGTAAACTTTTGAGATCAATTTTTAATAAGTCTCAACCGAGAAACTTTAATATGATAAATAATGAAAAATCAGTATTTTACCACAAGCAGAATTTTCGGATCTAATTCGAGTATATTTGTTTTTTAAAACAAATTAACGTTTCGGGCCCTTTACATGTCCCATAGTCACGGCGGCAGACTGAGATGGTAAAGTCATCAATCAGTTATACCTAATATTAATGTAAACCACTTTGTATTCACTATATATATGTATTTCACTATAGTTACAAAAGTCATTAATTAAATATCTTATTTTAATTTTTTTAAAGATACCAATTTAGGCTACATGTATTGAAAATTATTTTATTTTAACAATACAATTTTTTTATTACATTTAATTTTCTTATAATTATTAATACAAAGATCGAACACTCAGAAAAAATTCCTTCGATCCGGTCGGATTCGGATTTTAATTTTCTTCTTAAGTAATAATTGTAATAAGGATCAATTAAAACAAGTAGTGCAGTCTTAGATATGTCTACTTAGGATTTTTCATCAGCAGAAATACTGGATCCCAAACTGGTGGTACGATAAATTCATATTCATAAAGAACTTATTGTATAATGCACGACGCTACTAACCAATAATTATTATAAACGAACATAAACTCTACCAAACTTTCTGAGAAACAGAGAAACTTGAGACTTTAATTTGAAGCCCCTCCGCACTATCCCACTCTACGTGTACTTGTAAGTAAGAAACGTGACGAAACATAAGTAGAGGCAATCTCTACATTTTTCCCTAGCACGTATACGATACCTATCTATGAGAAGCATGTTACAAGTAGATAGTGTCTACATCGATGGTGGACTATTCACACGTAGGCGATAGAAACAAAACGTCATTGATAAAGTAGGTGAAATTATAAAATGTCATAACATGATAGACCTTGAGTTAAAAACGCCACCTCTAACGGCATTGTTTTGGCTCGACACGGCAGAATCATTTGTGAGAAAAACAAATTAATTTAATTAAATATTTTTCTTACTGTTACATCGTTGATATTTTTTGTACAAAGTTTCAGAGGAATCAACAGCACTCACTTAAGAACGGCAATGTTATGATATTTCCCAAAAAAATCAAACATGACACAAGTCTTCACGAAAAATACATTTACAGTTAATTTCTTTAAATAAATTCTAAGGTTAACTGCGCATTATGTGCAGTTATTATTAGAGTTCTGTTGCACGAAAGAAATAAAAAACTCAAGTCTTGCGTCAACCACTACATACACGAAGGTTAATTTTTTTTTTCTCATCTTCAATGCTCAGTAATTCTCATTTGCAATTCTTAAAGTGTTGCAATTCATGTCAAATGTTTTTTTAACTTGTTACATTTGAACTTGAAAGACAATAATCTTGTATGTGTAGACTAGAAGACATATTTTCTCGCATTCTTACCCTTAAGAGTCTACATATACTATCACAAATGGTTTTGGTTGATTCCGTATAACACAGACAGTTTGAATCAATCATTTTGAAAAATATACATAGTAAAATTGAGTATATATGTAATTATAATAAATAAAAATCTTTTATTTCGGACCACAGTAATCCATATAAATTAGTAGGTTAGTAACATAACAACTTATAACTATGTTAGTTATTAGGGTTAGTACAATTACATAACTAAAATTAATAAAATTAAAAATAAAAATAAAATGAGACGGATCCGGCTGTCCAAGCGGCTCACCGATTCGCACGCAGTACATGCAATTCGGTGAACCTCTGGAAAACTGCTGCATCCATCCTGTTTGCAATTAACTTTAGGATCTTGTTATTGCTTCCCCTCACCCTTTGTACCACCGCTGCAGACATTTTGCGCATGATGGCATAAAAATCCTTAACAGCAGCATCCGCAAACATGCCAGATGCGCTGCAGAAACGTGGAAGCCTCAACAAGACCCTAAAGGTATTATTATATTGGATTCGCAAGGCACTGTACGATCTCTGTGTGAAATTAGACCACAGAGCACACGTGTAGAAACTTTGGCAGTATGCTCTGAAGAGCGTAAGTTTCACTCCAATTGTACATCGCGTGAATCTGTGAGCCAACATATTACCTCGAACCGACAGTGCCCTGCGCTCCCTCTCCATATCCTCATCATCTTTTCTACTCTCCGCCACAATATGGCCTAGATACTTAAACTGTGCAACACGCCTCAATGGTATTCCATTCAACAAGATTGGAGGTACATAGGCCGGCTCTTTAATCTTGCCTTTGAATAACAAAAACTCACTCTTCTTCTCGTTGTACCTTAAGCCGTGCCGCACAGCATAAGCCTCACAATGGCTCAAAAGTTTTCTTAAACCTCCAATCGAAGGGCTGAGCAGCACCATGTCATCCGCATAGCTAATGTTGTTAATACTTACATTATCTATGCGACATCCAACATTCATGCTGCTCAGCTCTTCAATGAGGTTATTGACATAAAGATTAAACAGTCTCGGCGAAGTTAATCCTCCCTGCGTTACACCACTATTCAGAACACATTCATCAGATTGTGCATTTCCCCACTTTACCACATTCTTTTGATTACTATACCAATGCGAAAAGACACCAACTACTTCAGGTGATATGCCTGCATCCTTCAGTTTTGTCCAGAGGATGTCATATGACACTAGGTCGAAAGCTTTGGACAAGTCCAAAAAGCAGGCATAAATGGGTGTCTTCCTATTGATATAGTAATCAACAGCATATTTAAGTGACAAAATGGCACACTCAATTAGTGTGCGGTGTGAAAACACGATTCCTAAATATTTTCACGATAGAAAAAAAACACAAACTTACCTCGAAATTTTACAAGAAAACCTCTGTATTAAATAAGTATTTTACACATACCAATGATTTTTTTTATATGAACTGAACTAAATAGAACACGTGTACTATATAACCTGTATATGTATACGATGTACGTTTTTCAAATGGTTTTAATTTTGTTTGTAATAAAATAAATTCTCAAATAAAGATTTGAAAGACAATGGTTTTTTTTGTCAATTTCATGATTTAAAAAATATGTAATTAAATAAATAATTTAGTAAATGTATACATATACTTTATTTTCATTTAACTTTAATAGGGTAGTCAAATATTTCAATAAAATCCCTAGTCACTTTGGATGTGTGTCCAAATCAGAATAAACTTCTCCCTATTATTGCCCTAATAAAATACTAAAACGAACAAAAGTCCAGTACATAGGATATTAGACAACGAAGCTAAAAGAGAGCTGAACAGAATATATAGTAAATCATAGTGTAAAGTGACAACCAAATGGTGGCCGCGATGTACTTATAGAAACGCGAGACGTCCTGCAGAGAGATGAATATGACACTCTCAAAATCGTGTTTCATGGATGAGCAAAACTAGGGCCAGATCATGTTGGATAGCAAAAACTACGGGAGGCCTATGTCGAGTAGTGAGTGAAGCCAGACTGTGGATAATAATGATGAGTAAGAAATGCAACAATGAGTAGTAAACGATGTCGTGTAACATTGTTGCCAAAACTACACACATATACAACACATACACCTATAAACACGCGCGTATGTTTGTGAAACAAGCACACACAAACAATGCACATACAAACTTATTACATTAATCCGTAACCATATTTATTTATAATAAATAAACTTTCAGAGGCTTGTGATACAGGCTTTAGAGGAGTCTCTCACAAACATTAATATTTAAGATCTGTTCCATTCGTTTTTAATAAATGAATAGTGGGACAAAATAAACAAAAATCATCCCTAGCGACGCGTTAAATGTTTCATGATTTGTCACACGAAATGGTAATTTATGCAACGATCTTACAATTAATTAATACGACATATCGACACTGTGCACTCACAGTCGATGTACTTTTCACTTTCCAATCTTCTCTATTTCCAAAAATATTCATACCGCCGATGTAGTCGCCGGATGCAACAAATTGCACTAGAATTATAACCGAGATGAGATTCAAATAGCTCTTTACGTAACATCGTGTTGCGTGTTTATATAAAACTTTTACATAGGCTTATTTACATGCGGAAATTGCACTTGTGATGATGTCCGAAGAAACTATTTCTTCTCTCGTATATATCTAAGGAAGTAGGTTTTTCAGGTAATTACAAAGTGTTCCTACAAGTAAGGATCACATTAGTGTAAACTATCCTTCCTATTTACCAGTAACTAACATAAAAGTGAACACTAGTTTCTCTCGTAAAGACAAAATAACATATTTTAGTGTGTGTGCCTACAATCGATGCTCTAAGATACCTGACTCCTTTTGGTTCTAGAGCAAGTGTAAAGGGTCTCCAGCTTTTATATTTATGTAATGTAATTAAAATCAAGTTATGTATTTCTGCCGCCAAGCAGTAATGTCAGCATTACTGTTTTCCGGTTTTGAAGGGTGAGGGTGCTGGTGACATTACAGGCACATGGGACTTGTCAACTTATGTCGCACGGTGACGGGTGCAGTGGCAGTGCGCCTCAGATCTTTGCGATTGAAAGAGTTGAGTGGCACTGCAACTGTTTAAGACAGGCGTGTAACTTATCATCAGGCGCACGACTTGTTCGTCCCGTCACTTGATATTATAAAAAAAAGGAAAAATAAAATCTTAAAACGTCATTCCTTAAGGATGCAATAAAGAAATCATACCAAAATGAATTTTACGGTTCACAGATTAAATTGTTTAACACTTTTCTTCACACTGATCTACTCAGGACCAAATATATAGTTAGAGGGTCAGGTATCTTATCATCATCAGGCATCTACTGTACGTAAAAGCGATAGAAAGAAAATATAGCTACCAAAAAATTTAAAAAGTTTTAAAATAGGTGTACAAACTATCTATTTTTTATTTAACAATTACTTTCCTAATGATTAAACATGGAAAGTCAGTAAAAATAATTATTCAGTCGTCCGATTTACAATAATAAAATCAAACAATAAAATCACACAAAAGTTTTATTATGTTTACTCTGTCAATACAATACAATCTTACTTTTATTCTCATTTCATTGCATATAAATGTCCTTGTGTCTACATAGATGCTAATGCTAAAAATTAAATTTATGTAGTCATAGAAACCCAAACTAAATTATAACATAATTACCCACCAAAACCGAGTGTAATGGGGCCCTAATATAGAATGAGTCACGCGATCGGTGAACATATTATCTACGTTAAAACGGACTATTCTAAAGAGAAATTTAATATTGATGCAAACTTTTTGCAGGAATTTATGAATCTTTTTAGGTAACTAATAAAAGTTACAACACTCACTTTCTCTGTGTAGACTTTTTAGCGGTCGCGGAGCGTCAAGCGTCAAGGATACGGCTAGCACAGGGCCGTGGTGGTGGATGGCACAAACTTCAGGAGGCCTATACCCAGCAGTGGGAGAAAACAGGCTTTGGCTGATGATGATGAACTAGAGGTTTAACGATGTTGCAATCACTACCTATTTACTGTAAAAAAAATTGTTATAAGTTTTAATTGTGTCTCATGTTTGTTAACCCAAATAAAAAAAAATCGTGTTCATTGTTAATTCATTATATGTCACATGGGTCTCTAAGGAGACCCGACAGTCAGTCCGCCCTCTTAGAGTAATAACTTTAAAATCTGTTTACTTAATCAACCTGCATATTGTTTTAAGCACATACCACATGTTTTAAGCTTCTATCTTTTAAATCAACATTATCTTTCGAGAGTTCTAAACTTGTATTACATTTAAACGAAGTCATTCTCCTGACCTACTAGCAGAGTGAGTTTTTAAGTCTAATTGGGCAAAGCAAATAAAAAAGAGCGTAATCGTATTATGGAGTAACGAGCGTGCTCTGACCGTGGATTCATGACTCGTTACTTTGCATTGCAAATCGTTAGAACACACTTAAGTAAATAATACTGAACGCTAAGTTTAGAAAAGAATAGTCGAATGTTTATTGAAACGTTGAAGTTTTTAGAGGCTGTGTGGCTGGTATTCCAGCCTACAATAGACATCAAATCTGTTAATAAATCCCTATTTATGATGCAAAAAAAGTAATAATTATAACTTTGTTATCAAATAAAAACTGGCCTCAAAAGTTTGCTTATCGACTTTGTTATTGGAATTACTCTTAATTGCCAAGTTTTGTTGAAATTCGTTAGCGGAAAGTGCGCGAAACCGGATTCATCCCCTAGTTTGCATTCTTAGAGGTGGAATACTTTCTTCAAATTTAAATGGCACCAATACGGGGTTACCCCCTTTTACAACAAAAGAGAAACATCAAAATCGGTTTACAGATGCCAGGGTAATCACGGAACATACACACAAAAAGAAATATAGTCGATATAGATTTTAAGGCTTTCGTGGTTATTCACTAAATGATTATCACTGTTTCTACATACCAATTACTCGTAAAGACAACCCATTTCGGTTTGTATACAATATCAGTAGTGTTACATTAAATGAGATCGACAGTATTAGAGATTTGGGCGTGACAATTGATAGAAAACTCACATTTTTGCCTCCATGGAACAAATTATAAAAAAAGCATCTAGGATGCTGGGATTTATAATACGAATTGGCAAAGTCTTTAGAAGGCCATCTACTAGAATTTTATTATACAATAGTTTTGTAAGGACTATTTTAGAGTATGGGAGTATTGCTTGGAGGCCACATTATGCGGTTCACTCTCTTAGGTTAGAACGAATTCAGAAAAGGTTCTTATGGCATCTTAGTTATTTACGAGGTTTGGGTAAAAAGAGTGTCTCGTACGACACCCGTCTCAAGTTCTTCAAAATATCTCCTTTATCTTTGCGACGTGAAATACTTGATCTAGTATTCTTATATAAGCTAATTAACAATAAAATTAATAGTCCGCAACTTCTCTCTAAAATAGAGTTTAAAATACCCTCTCGTCTACCAAGGTATCACGTAAATCTTTTTCACCCCCCATTGCGCAAAAGTATCCTCGGTTCAAATTCTCCGTTTGCTCGATTTGCCAGCCTCGTCAATGCTCTACATCTTGAAATGGATATCTTCGCAGTCTCATTGCCTCGCTTCAGGAAGTCAATATTGCGGTTTTTGGCATATAAGTGAATATTATTTGTAAAGTATATTATATTATATTTATTTTATAATTTAATTTGTTATTTTATAATTTAATTTATTAATACAGTAAACATATGTAATATAAGTACTCTAAAAAAATAGAACAGTAAATTAGTAATAATTGTCTTAACTTTCATACTCTCATCATGGCATGTTCACCTGTAATTGGTTAAGCATTTTAACTGTAACACCCTATCGAATGTGTGTAAAATATTGTTGTAACCGAATGTATTAAGCGTTGGTGAATTTAATTAAATAAATAAATAAATAAATCACTAATTTCAGGTTTCTAATCACGGTATGACTTCTTTTTATTTTCCCGATATTTCGGAAAGGTTGCACGCTCCATGGTCACGGGTTGACTGGACGGCGGCAGATGACAGCTTTAAGAGCAGGCATATCTGTCTACCCTCTTGCACTATCGACGACTACTACCTTCATCGCGATTTGTTGTGGCGTTACCATTGTCACTCATTTCACACAAACCACACTCACTGTATCCATACGCGAAACTGAACTTGAGGTTGTTTTTATTACTGTACGCACTAAGAATCCGGTCCGAGCGTGCAACCGTTCCGAAGTATCGGGAAAATAAAAAGAAGTCATACCGTGGTAAGGAACCTGAAATTAGTGATAATCAAATATATTCCAATTGAGATCTACTTATTTTTTGAAGTCGGTTAAAACTGGAATGCGAGTACGTCCTGCAACTACATAATAAATCTTTTATTTCGTACTATTACTATTTAAAGCGTCCTAACTTTTTTTATGATATCAAGTGACGGGGCAAACAAGTCGTGCACCTGGTGGTAAGCGACAGGCCTGTCCGTACATACATTTTAGGGGCACTCCAACAGCGCCCGTCATCCTGAGACATAAGTTGATAATCCCATGTGCCAGTAATTTTACAGCACCCTTACCCTTCAAAACCGGAACACAGAATGCTCACATCCACAGAAATAGGTAAGGTGGCAGTACTTGCCTGGACGAACTCTATTGCAACTAAAAAAAAGTATAATTGTGGAGATGTGGCGTTACACCAATGTATACCACAAGATGCGGTTTTTGGGTCTACAGCATCTATCCAAGCATGGGTTTATAAAAAATAATGCTAATACATAGAAAAAAACCCAATTGGACAATAACATAGAGCATTCACCTTAAAAAGAATAGCTGTAACAGCAAACGCTGTTCGTTTGATAGCAATCGGTTTCGTAAAAGGATTTGAATCGCAAACCCATTCGTATTAAAGCAACAATAATCTGAGTAATTGAGATTTAGTACGCTCTGTGAACGCTGATGCTATAAATTAAGTAATTGGAATACTTTTATTGCACTATGTTGACTGTTTTGATAACTGTTAAAAAATCAATTTTGGGGAAAAAATAATTGCGCTACTTTGTGAGGAGGCCATCCACCGGTTTTCAAAGGCGAATTGAGGTCATGCTGGGCCCATAACCTTTTGGAAACTTGAACTTGGCCTCTTAGAATATTTATATACTTAGAATATTCTCTACCTGTAAATAAAATCTTTTAATCTTTCTCTATCATCAAATTATGTATTCCTATAAACATAATTGTTGATGACGTTTACAAGACATTTCCGAATTGCATTAATGGGTAGGCCAAAAACTCCGTACGATTGTTGCCACTAGCAAAGTTTAAAAAAGGAACTTTTTTCTTTGAAAATGTTTCATTGTCTATGGTCATTATAAAAATAATATTTTACGTTCATTTTGGTACATATGGGAAAGTTTTAGGTTTATAAATCATGAAAAACTTCCAAATTTGTGTCGTATTTCATGATGATAGGCAATGCTGTTTGCATTTCATCATTTAAAAATAAAACACGCGAATGCTTTTTTTATGATCGTGCACGGGCGTTAAGCGACACGCCTGTCCACGCCAGCTGCAGTACCACTCAGAGCTTTAAATCCCTTACATCTGAGGGATACTGCCACTGCGCCTGTCACCCTGAGACACAAGTTGAGAAGTCCCTTGTGCCTGTAATTTCACCAGCACCCGTATCCTTCAAAACCGAAACATAGCTAATGCTCACATTACTGCTTGGCGGCAAAAATAGGTAAGGTGGCAGTACTTCCTTGGACGAACTCTTGACTCATAAATGTGGAAATACAGTCAGAAATCTATTTGAATGCAGCGAGTGTTAGCACGTTCTTTTTTTTAATTTAAACTTTATTGCACACAAAACAGCACAAATGGCGGACTGAATGTCATTAGGCATTCTCTACCAGTGAACCAAAGTGCTGGGTTCAGAATAATATATCAAATGAGACGCAGATGGAGACTTCAACATGAAATTACGGCCTCCGTGGTCGAGTGGCTTGCACACCGGTTTTCATGGTTTCGCCATCTCTGAGGTCTCGGGTTCGATCCCCGACCGGGTCAGCGTAGAATCTAACTATATTATCTTGGGTCTGGGTGTTGTGGTACCATAATTGTTTCTGATTTCCATAACACAAGTGTTTTAGCTACTTACTTTGGGATCAGAACATTGCATGTGATGTTGTCTAATATTAAAAAAAAAATGAGTAATAGCATAAAAGCAAACTTCCTTATAATTAGAATTTTAGCGAATTGCATAAGTAAATCCCAAAAAAAGAGTGAAACAAAAACCTAACAAGTTTTATTAAAGATCATAAAACTTTTTATGTAATCACGATTCTTATGTTAATGCATGTTATTATTAGCGAGTTGCACATGTTCAACGGCTTTTTTGTCGCCTTACGTCTTACCTACATGAAACACCTAAACTTACATATGTTTATTACTTATTAACTGTAACTGTGTGCTGGTAATCAGGCAGACATAGGTCAAAAGGTTACAAGAAAAATATGTATTTGATATACACACATCAAAAAAAGTTTGCGATCACTTCGAAAAACTGAAATCTTTTTTGTTACTGTAGATTATATTATGTTTTTTTCTTCTTTTTAGATTCTTTATTTAAAAATAAATTAGAACATAAAACAATGACCCCGTTCAATTGTTTTTTCATATAAAAAGGCTTTCAGTCCTAGCTTATGGCTCATTCAGAAATCTGATTTAGTCAATTATAAGCGATTCAAGATATTTTTCGCGGAAAGTTGTGATTGAAAAAATGCCAAGAGGATTATCAGAGGTTTTACGAGCTAGAATAGTAACTTTGAGGGAAGAAGGATACACCACGAGAGTAATAGCACGCAGACTTGCTATATCCCAATCCTGTGTCGTGGCTACGTTGCAGAGGTATCACGGAATGGGGAATTTAGCTGACCGACCCCGCAGCGGTCGCCCAACTGTTTTGACAGCTGCCCAAAAGCGCTATATTAGATTGCTGGCAGCCCGTGATCCAACAATCAACGCCACTAAAATAAAAGCAGAAGTCAGGGCCGCCTCTGGGCTTGAAGTTAGCACGCACACCGTTCGCAATTGCTTGCACCAGGCTGGATTACGAGCACGGAGGTCTTGGCGAGCTCCGCTCAATTCCCGGCAACGTCAACAACGAAGATTGCAGTGGGCTAGACTTCGGCAAAATGAAGAAGGTGAGGACGAAAACATTTGGCAAAACTGTCTCTTCGTTGACGAATCCCGAATCAGCACTCATCCAGATAACCGACGTGTCCGTGTCTGGAGAAGACCAGGCGACCGTGAAAGATAAAGAACTGCCACTGGAACAGTTCAGCAAGGCGGAAAATCGGTGTCCTTTTGGGGTGGCATTATGATTGGAGCTAGAACGCCTTTGATCCCGTATCGGGGCTTCATGACAGCAGACATGTACAAAGCAGTTGCTATTGATGATATCGTCAGACCATTCCGAGTAAACCATGGGCACCAATTTGTACTGGTCGATGATAATGCGCCCGCACATCGAGCTCAACGAGTCAATGCTGCTCTTCAAGAATACGATATCACACGATTAGACTGGCCTGCCGGCTCGCCCGACTTAAACCCAATAGAGCACGCGTGGGATGCTCTTAAACAAGCAGTATGGAACCGTGAGCCACGTCGCCAGACAGTTCCAGAGCTCAGGGAAGCCGCTATTGAAGAATGGGATAGGTTACCCCAGGAAATGCTGGATAATTTGATCCTCAGCATGCCCAGGAGGATCTTCGCATGTATTCGAGCCAGGGGAGGAGTTATTTTATATTGAATTCACACCTTTTAATAATAAATTGTTGTTTAAGTTTAATTAAACAGTCTTTTTCTTTCTATGAAATTTCTATCACTATTACATTATGATTAATGGCTCAATTTTTTTAAATAAATAATAAAAAATAGTTTTATATTTTAATTTCAAACAGGGTATTCCTATTTAAAGAAAGCATACAACATAGATTTTATCTTGATAAAGTTAAATTTAAAGAATTATAGGAGCTTATGCTATTGATCGCAAACTTTTTTTGATGTGTGTATATCAAAAATTACAGTACAATTAATAACTTTTTTATAATGCGATGTATTAATAAATTATGTTTTAAGGAAAAAATGTATATAAATATACAAGTAGTTTAATTTGGTAATCGTGCTGCTAATAACTTATTTTGAATGACTTTTTACTGTACCCACGTCGACGAAGGACACAGCACGAGATTTTCTTTTCGAGTGGAGCATTCGTTTCTTGGCAATCTTGCCATTTACTCCAATTATGCAATTTCCAAATGGAATTTCTCGGCCGTTCCCAAGATGCACATAATTTGAAACTAGCATAAAAATACAATTCTACAGGTCGTGATAAAGCCAAAATTTCGAATTTCGACTTGAGATAATTAAGGATACACAATGTTTAGTCTGTGGTAAAATGTTCAATTGTAAAAATTTGTTCACGTGAATGTGCGAACTGTG